GGATGGTGCCCTAAATGTGTGTTCATCTGGGTTAATTCTCAAGGACAGGAACTATTAAAGATTAACAACCAACCACCATGTTTTATTGAGACCAGCCGCATTTGCAGGCATATGGCTCTAAACACAGACCCACTTAAATGTCTGTGATTGTGTGTCCGCTTTTGTGTGCATGTGTGTGTTTTTCTGGAGGTTTATTTCGTTCAAACAAAACGACAGTCTTTTCTAGGAAGATATATTACGACTGTAAGCTTGGCTGTTTGCTGTGCTGCAGTCAAACCTCAATTACATCAGCCTCACTTAAGCCACACACCTGACAATAGAGTGCTACAGTATTATGGAGTTAACCAGAAACTGCAAATAATGGCTGTTAAATGATCTCTTGGATGGAAGAAGCATTTACAAAGTAAATAAAACACTGAATCTTGGTGCCACTACTCACCAAATCTGACACCATGACTGTCTGGTTAAAAGCATCGAGGGGCAGCCGCATTTAAAACGATATGTGGAGCCCATAGAAAGCCTGTCCAGACTTTAAAGTGAGTGATTGAAGTGATTAAGCAATGAGAGCCAAAGATACAGCCGATTAACACGGTAAGGTGGCAAATACATTAGACGGTTATCTAGGCAACCAGAGCATGGAGCCATCTTCTAGAGTGAAGCCCAGCCGCTGATATTAGCCATTTGCTGACTGAAATTAAAAAAACTAAAGAAGGGATGGGAGAAACACCATTCAACCATGTTTGAGTACTGATTTAGCATAGTTTGTCCACCAGAGGGCGCTCTGAAACGTCTCAGATGCCAACGCAGAGCGTAACAATCGGCTGTTCCAAGCAGTGTTGGGCAGAGCGTAAATGAGTGTGCGTGACATGTTATGATAATATATAAAATATATATTTATATAATATAATGTAATATAATAAAACAAGCGTATGTTTTTAAATTCCATTATCATATTATCTTAGTAAGGACTCATAAGTAACTGCACATGACCAAAATATCAGATTTATCTAAAACATTCTATATCGGTCGGGCTCTATTCTTGAAACACTGTAACAGTTTTTATTGATGACTCAATCTAGCTGCTAACACAAGTGGGTGGCATGTATTCCTGTCTTATACAGGCTATACCAGCTGTATTATTACAACATGCTGCAGCCACAAGTCTTATATACCAGCAGTCTAAGGAGCTTGGAAAGAAAAGCGTCTGGACTTCCTTAAGTTCCTTGAAGACGTTTCACCTCTCATCCGAGAAGCTTCTTCAGTTCTAGGGTCAAATGGTGGAGAGTCCCAGATTTAAGTTC